AAGTAGAACACCACCTCCCAGTCGGCAAGAACAGAATCAAACGCTGCAAGGGACCAGGGACCAGGGACCAGGAACCAGGGACCAAGGACCAGGGACCAGAGGCCAGGGACCAGGGACCAGGGACACTGCTCTGTAGCCATCAAGAGCAAACCCATCTCTTTGTGCTACAAGGCAACACCAGTGTTTCCCTGCAGAGGGCTGCAGGTTATCAGCAGTCGCCTCTGACAGTGTCAAGCTAGAAGCCTGTAGCATCCCCTCCCAGCCAAAGGTCGTTGGGAAGGTTTGGCTTAAGTGGAACCTCAGATCAGAGGCGTGGAAGGAGGGGCCAGAGGCTGGTCTCTGATTTCTCAGTGACCTTCCAAAGTCCTCCTAGGATGCTCCTCCTGCGGTCCCATCAGGTCCTTAGCAGCAATTTGCTTATTGCAAAAGAAAAAAGTTGAGGTGGTCTAGCTTATCTTCACAGCCAGCTCTGATCCTGGCAGAGACCCCAGGGGCTATCTCAGGATAGGCATGAGATAAGGTCAGGATAGACATGGAGCTGGCCATCCATAGGGTCCCTGTTCCCTCCCTAGCTTCACAATGAGCCCCTGAAAGATGAGGATGGCCCTTCTCCTTCTGGCTCCCTGCACTCAAGGTGCCATGCCCATTATCCATTTAAAGAGAAAAAGTTGTAAACATAGCACAGGGAGACCCATGGGTTGTTCTAGAACTGCTGAGGGAGAGCCAAGGGGAGCCGCTGAACCTGGTCTGATGAGGGAGAGGACATCGGGAGCCAGAACCCACAGGATTCACCTAGATCATCTGGCCATAAAAAGTAGATGGAAATGAGTAAGAGAAGATGAGGGGCTGGAGGGATGGCTCAGCGGTTAAGAACACTGACTGCTCTTCTAGAGGTCCTGAGTTCAATTCCCAGCAACCACGTGGTGGCTCACAACCATCTGTAATGGGATCTGACGCTCTCTTCTGGTGTGTCTGAAGAGAACTACAGCGTACTCATATAAATAAAATAAATAAATCTGAGGGGGTGTGGATCAAACAGTGGCAAGATAGCTACTGTGTGTCTGGATGGGCAGGCCCACCTGTTCCAAAGTGAAAGGGCAAGACAGAATATCCTAGGGAAGAATAAGACAGTCAGAACCAGGGGACACTGTAGGTGGCCTGATGCTCACCACAGGACCAAGCTGAGGGCAGGTACATCCTTCAAACAGCAGAAGGTGGAACCACTCAAGAGATGGAGCCACAGGCTAGGACAGAATGCTGAGTTCCTCAGGCCCTGGGCAGCTGGAAAAGGCCTAGGCAGGGCAGAGAATGCCAGAGAAGCAGAGATCAGGGAGCCACAGTCCCAGTGAGAGATCCAGCAGGGCATGCAGGGCGGAGGACTCTCAGTGCAAAAGGGGTATCCCAAAGAGGAAACCTTCATTGTAGAGGCAGCAGGTCAGAGCCTGTCAGGTCCATAAAGACACAATAGGGCCAGGCTGGGTGGAGCTCAGGAGCGTGGTGCCAACCCCCAAGCAGGACAAAGGCCAAGCAGCCACATCCCCAGAGACAGACCATTTCAAAGCAGGCTACTGACCAACTTCCTCATGCTACTGTGCCCTGCCCGTGGCTTTCCCAATTTCAAACAGAAACAGCTCAGCAAAACTCAAGTGGCTGTTTCCATAGTAAGACCAGGGTTCCAGCTGCAGAGATCGGCTGGCACAAAGCCACAGTGGCAGCTCAGAGTGGCTGAGGGGAGGCGCTTACCAGACCAGGGCCAGGCTCTAACAAAGGCCCCCAAGTTTCCTCCTTGCCCAGGTTACTTGGCCTGAGGCCCCCAAAGGCCTCTTCCCACAAGTCTGCAAACCCAGGCCTGGCTAAGCTACCAGGCAGGGGCTCTCTGGCTTCCTGATGCAAAGTGCCTTATGCATGCCATCCCTAAGTGGGTAAGCTCAGTATTCTTGTCCTTTGCAGATAAGATAAAGGACCAAGTACTGAGGTCTGGGGGTATGACTCTCCCCTCCCCCCTCCAAGGGCATAGGAGATTCCTCAGAGCAAAGACAGAGCAAAGATTTAGAGAGCATATCCGGTTCCCAACGTCCTGCTTCTTTAACAGCCTACTTGAGGACCTCTTGGTCCCCATGTGTGCATCCTGGCAAGCCAAGGAGCAGTGGGACAGGCATGTAGAGACTTGGTTGGATAGGCCACACTGCCCCTTTGGTCACTTGGAAGATTTTAACCCAGTATGTCCTAAAGGCTTCTGAGTCTGCAAGATGGGAGCCTTCCCTACCTTCACAGAGGAAGGACACCAATCTACGACGTCCCACCAGGAATGAAGACCCTGTCATGTCCTTCTGTAACATGGTAGCCGGCTGGAAATAACTTACGCTACCTACCATTCACGAGCTTGCTGTCCGCAGGCCAGAGGGCCAGCGATGGCTCACGCAGGCTACTGTAGTACCCCTGAGTATCTTCATCATGCTGGACCCCAGCCTCCAACATCCAACTTTAGGGTGTGTGTGGCTCACTGGCTACCTGATCTGCCTCATCCGTCTAAGCTGTACAACAGTATGCTCGCCCTTGCCCTCACTTCACGGCCGAGAAAACAGACACGGCAACCAACCAATGCAGAGACGGAAGTGGCGGTCCCAGAAAGTGAGACCCTGGGGACACATGGTGTCCACCCACCTAAGGGCCCTTCAGATTGTACACAGGGTTCACAAGGACAAGTCCTTGGGGTTCTCCTATCTTGTACATGAATGCCTCAGAGATAGAAGCCAGGATCCCCACCCGCCCCCAAATTCTTGCTGCCATTCCCGTTAAAGAAAGTTGTGCACTGTGTGCGTCTGGAATTGTCTCCGTACACAAAGAGCAGCACCAAGCAGTGGCGGCCAAACTGATACACTGGTTCCTTTGCATCCCACCCTGGTAAGACCAAGAGGGCCTGGAGTTTTATCCCTGAGATTTGCTAAGCAGCTAAACACTGGCAAAAGTGAGTGTTAGTAATATGGTCGCTCCTGTGCCTGTCTGAAGCTGTGATGACCAGGAGTTGGCAGGAGCCCTGGGCTAACTCCTCACCAAGATAACAGAGAGCAACATGTATCCTTATCCCATCCCAGGCTTTTTCTAGCAATAGTGGCTTGCTCCTTGAGCTCCTATGGAGAGAAGATGATGTTGGTTAAGCGCAAGCCAGGAACAGCTGCATGCTGGGAACTTTCAGATGTCACTTTGCACTGATGTACAAGGTCCCAGCAGTGTGGATGGGTGCAGGGCTGCAGGGCTTGGAGCCTGAGAAGCGGATGCAGACACCAGGAGAACCCGAAGACCTGGTTCTTACCAGGGTAAAGGTTCACCTCAGCACCCATTGCTAAAGACAGAGTGTCCAGGATCACTGATGAGCTAACCACAGTAGCAGGGTGGAGGCCTGCCTGCTCCACCAGCCTCCGCTCCCTGGTGTGAGTGCAAAGTTGTTTATGAACAGGCAGAGAGCAAGAGGAGAATAATGCCTCTTGTGTTCTGCGATGTTCCAGGCACTGTTTATATTTCCCATTTACTCTCATTACAGTCTATAAAACAGATACGATGATCCCTTCACTGAGCGGGATGCCAGCCAGAGGAGCCCAGAGCAGCAGAACCAGTACCCACATCAGGTCTGCCTCCACCCAGGGCTATGACTTTCTAGCCTAGTGCAGGTGCCTGTCCCCACCCATCCCAGGGTTGGCATATAGGTGACCTTTCCAGAGATTACCCAAGTTCATGTGCGTTCACCTTAACTCAGTGACAGACCAGTCTGGATCAGGCCCTCCTAAACCTTTCTTCTACTTTCCACTCTTTGTTGAGCAGATCTCTGAGGACCTTTAGGGGGATTTTAGGAAGGACCTACCACTGCTGGCCAGGTGACATCCCATCTTTCCTCTTTAAAGAGATCAAAGAAGGCCGGCGATATGGTTTAATGGCGAAGCGTCTGTCTCACATGCACGGTTCTATTCCCTTGCACCAAAATTAAATAAATAATTAAAAAAAGAGCAGATCTTTAATAAATTCTCATTTGGTGGGGTGGGGGGAAATGTATGTGTACAGATATGTGCTTTGTACACGCACTGTGTACACATACACGAACACATCTGTGCTCGTGTGGACAGAATCGGGAAGACACAACAAGGAGAGCCCTTCCTTCCTCTGGGAGGAGGAGGAGGCGGCTGTTCCATCTCCATAGTTGTACCTCAGGACTCAGGAGCCTGGATCTGGTCCTGCACCTGCCTTCCCTGCTTAAGAGGCTGACCAGTGATGCTTGAAGGTGCCTCTCAGGCCATCCCAAGTCACCGAGCCTATCAAAAGGGCCACCTTAGAGGAGGGATGAGACTTCCCATTTTCCCAGGATCAAGCTGAGGGTAGAGGGTGGGTTTCTCCTACTGCTGAAGCAAGCCGGCCAGCGCACACCTGAGAGAGGAGGCCCATATCCAGCAGGCAGCCCTCTTTGGCTTCCTTTGCTGGGTTCAGAGCAAGCTGCCCGGCTTCCCCGAGATGTCCGGCTGCCGTCCTGGTGCAATTTCCCCACAACGGCGTTTCCATAGGCACTTTAGGAGGAGCTAATGAGACACCCCTCTCCCCAACGCTCCTCTAGGCCAGCTTGCCCACTGTCCCTTTGTCAATATCAACAGAAGTCAAGGGCACTCTGTGTCCAGAGAAGGGTCTTTAGAAGGGGAGGGGCCACGAACAACAACAACAAAAAAAGGGTCTGTGGCGAACCGCACTCCTACGTGGCTCAAGTTGGTTGGGAGGTGAGTGTAAAACGGAGCCAAAAGCGGGTCCCTTCAGTCCCCGCGAGGCGACAGCGTGACAGCCCAAGACTGTCACCGTCCACCTGGGACCTGCCCCGCGGGTCTGCACCGCAGGCTGCCGTGCCTCCAGGAGACCCTGATCGCACGGCGGGCCGCCAAGAGCTGCTCGGTCCGAGCCGGCGGTGGGAACACCTGCGCCTATTAGGGCGCACGGAGGCCGCGGAGGGAGGGGGATCGGGGTACCTTCTGGATGCGTCCATCGATGTCCAGGTAGATGGCCTTGGGCCGGTAGCTTGAGGAGCCGGCCCCCATTGCGCCCGCCGCTTGCACTTGGACTTTTTCACCTTACTTTCTCGCCGCGGCCGCCGCGCCGGGAGGGCGGGGGCGGGGGGAGGGGCGGGGGAGGGGCGGGGGCGGCCAGCCAACCAGAGCTGGCAGCTCGCGGGCTCCACACGCCCCTCCTCCCACGGCGCTGGCCCGCCCCGCCCTTCCATCCCCTCCCCTCCCCTCTTCAACCCCTCCCCTTCTCCATCCTCCTTTCTCTCCAGGGCTCCTCCCAAACGCCTCTCTCCCCCTCCTCACTCACACTCCGCTCCTCCCTCCCCACCCTTTCTCCTCCTCCCGCTCTCATTTCTGCCCCCTCCCTCCCAGACTTTCCCCCATTATTCCCAGGCTCTCCTCTTTCTCCCTCCCACCTCCCCCTGCTTTCTCTGCCCACCTTCCTCCATCCCGTTCTCTCACCCCTCTCTTCCTTCCCCTACCCTACCTCCCCCTCTGCCACCTTTTCCTTCCCCCTCTTTCCTTCTTTCTCCTTTTTCCTCACCTCAGTGACGTCCTTCCTTACCTAGGGTCCCTCCCCGCCTCTCATCTCTTCTCTTTCCATCTCCCTCCTCCGGCCTTCTTTTTCATTTCTATCCCTCCCTATTCCTCCCTCCCCCTCCCCTGCTCTCTCTTTCCCACCCCATCTCCTCCTTTGATTCCTGTCACCTTCATACATGTCCCCTTCATACGTGCCCACTGCCTCCTTCAGCTTGATCAGAGATTGACCCCTATCTCTGACTACACGATCAGTCAACAGCAGCCTCTGGGCTGAGAGCTGTAAAATCATGACCCACAGTACTGAGAAATCAGCCCCCCCCCAGTTCCCCTCCCCCACTCCCCACTCCCCCGCAGTAAAGGCCACCCTCACTTAATTTGAATCGGAAGTGGGGAAAGTTCCTTCCCCAAGCAGCCCGTGCATTCCTGGAAGGGCTGGGAAGGCTGTTTCCCTCCACCTGGAGTTGACAGCCTGTCCCTGCCCTTTAAGCTGAGGGACGGTTGCCCAGCCGACTATCTGTTAGATGCAGCACTTCCCTTACTGCCGCCCCCACAACACTCACAGATACTTTTGCTATTTTCCATGGGGGTTGGGGGCGCATGGTAAGCCCGAGGGGAGAGAATTTCAGGTCTCCTTAGCCTCTTGGATACAAGAAACTCTCTGGGGCTTTCCTGGTGGGAACAGCTGGAGGAGGGGCCCTGAGGTTGTTGCTCTTGGAAGCAGCGGTCAAACCGCTGGAGAAGGCGCCTATTGTTTGTCTTGAGTGGATTTCCAGCCACATCTGCTGCTGTCTGGGTTGTGCTGAGGATGCCTGGAGCTCCTTAGCCTACGGGCCTGAGAGGAACCAGCCTAACCAAACAGCCTGGCCAATGGCCTTTTCTTTCCCTCACTTGGCCTTTCTGGTCTCCACCTGGTGGACTGTCACTGGGCTTGCCAAATCCTTCAGAGCTATTGGAGTCAGGACCAGGGATGAAGCCAGGGACTTCCAAAAGCAGCATGCGTTAGAAGCACAGATACCCTTGTTCTTCTCAGCTCTTAGCACTAGGTGAGACCCAAAAGCAGCAACCCGTAGCCCTGAGGACAGAGGAGGCTCAGGATGCCTGCTATGCGAGCCATCTTCCACCTACAGGCTGTCTAGCCCTCATATCACCTTGATAGTTCTAATCCCCCCAGGGCTGTCTGGGGGCCCCTGTCCACTCCCCTAGTACAATTAAGGAGCCCTAGACAAAACTTGGCACCTTGAGAATTGCTTAAAAGTGACCGGAGTTTGAGGGTGATGGCACACAGGCTTTTAAGGCTGGCTGGTTACAGCTAGCCGGCTGACCTGCGGTTGTGATCTCAGAAAATTAAGCTGGTGTTTGTTGTCAAATGAGCCAACACTATTGGAACTGATGGGCAGCCTGTTGTTAGAGCTACCTTGTGTTCCTGTACAGCCTGCCATGGAGAGCCGACACGGCCGACGGCTTTCTTCTCCAAACCTTGCTGTCATCTGACTTAGTCCCTTGGAACTGGTTCCTTCAAGACCAGATATTTGTCCCCAGTGCAGCTGACCAGCAGCTTGGAGGGTGTGGCTCTGCGTGTCTCCTATTGTGAGTGTTGGGCACAGTGAGGCAGGCTGGCCCTTCCAAAGCCTAGCTAGCTCTGTAGTCAGAATAGCAATCACACCTAATCTTATTTTGCATTATCCAGCTTTCCTCTCAGGAGACCTCTGAACAGACACTTAGTCACCAAGGCAGCAACTGTTATCCAAAGGGGAACCAATGCTTGCCCCGCTCCCCTGTTTTCTCAACCCCCTCCCCCACCCCCGGAACTATGGTTTGTCCAACGACTTCTCTATTCAGAACTGTTGCAGATACTGGGTGGTTCAGGGGTATGGAGGTGAGCAAAGCGACCAAAATCCCTGGTTGGAAAGAGATGGCATCTTAGAGGTGAAATCTGATGAATAAATAAGAAACATGGCGCGTTGAGGAATATCTTTTGCCAAGGAGAAAAGTCATCAGAGAACAGGGAAGAAATGTGGGGACACGGAAGCTGGACTTAATGGGTCACTTGGTAAGCTGGTTACCTGAGTGAAGAACCTGCCAGCCAACAGTGACCTCACTCCAAGGTCTTGCTCAGGAGGCCAGCAGGGTTAGGATTGAGGCACAGCGGGGGTGGGGGGTGGGGGGCTGCGGGAAGGCGGAGCTGCAGGGCAGACAGGTTCAAATGGCGGCTCCTGTGGCTCCCACAGGTGACTCCAGGTTGCTGTGTCTCTATCCGATGCAGCCTCGTGGGAGGTTGGGCAGAGGAGGGATGTGTCTGACTAACGGTGTACCAGCCCTACTGAGTGGATAGTGAAGGCTATCCAGCAGGGGCACAAAGTAGGAGACCAGCCAGGAGGTGGTGATTTCTTTACAAAGCACGATGGTCATTTTGACAGTGGTAAGAGAGTAGGAGTTTTTACCAAGAAATAAGGTCAATAGAAGAATATGTAATACATATTATATATATTATATTTGAGGTATATGTGTATGTACTTAGGGTTTCTGTTGCTGTGAAGAGACACCATGACTACGGCAACACTTACAAAGGACAACGTTTAATTGTGGCTGGCTTACAGTTTCAGAGACTTAGCCCATGATCATCATGGTGGGAAGCATGGTGGCATCCAGACAGGCATGGTGCTGGAGAAGGAGCTGAGAGTTCTACATCTTGATCCTTGGGCAGCAGAAGGAGACGAAGACACACTGGCCAGACTTAAGCATATATAACCTCAAAGCCCGCCCCCACAGTAACACACTTCTTCCAGCAAGGCCACGCCTCCTAATGGTGCCACTTCCTACCAGCCACGCATCCACACACGAGTCTATGTGAGCCATGACTATTCAAACCAGCACACATCCATGTACCTCAACACAGGATTTGCCTGATAAGCCTACCTATCATTAATTGGAAGTATTTTAAATCAAACATGCCTGTCATTTCTCTAACATACGCATCGAGGTATTAACACATGCATTGTAGCATTGACGTTTCCCCCCTTAGGATCTTGGAGCATTGCGGTTATAATTTCTGCCTGTCTTGGAGGGGGATGGCAGAGACTGAGGCAGATTGATACAACCTGTCATTAGCACAGGGAAAGAGCTGAAGGATGGTTTCTCTCAAATGCATGGGACTCTGGTACTGTACTAACGGAAAATGTTAAGCTGAACTACCATCTAAGTTCAGGACCTTGGCTGCCTACAACGGATATTGGCTCAGGTGATTGACGGCGGGCTGGAGATCCAAGAGGACCAGTGCTGGTACCTGTCTCTAAGTCTGAAGCTTGAGGGACCAGAGTGCTGCTGTCATACATCCCAAGTAGAAGGGCAGGCAGACACCAATGTCTGACTTAAGCAGGCAGTAAAAACAGAATCCTCTGCCCCCGTTCCTCTGTTCTATTAAATCACTTGATGGGCCACATGATGGGTCACATGAATCCCACCAGAATGAAGGTGGATAGCCATCAGATCCAACCTCACCCAGAACCCCCTGTAAGGCATCCAGGATAAGGAATCATGCCCCATCAGCCTGACTCATTGAACTGACCACCCTGGGGTGGGAAATGATTGGCATTCATGCCCAATGTCTCCATGCCAACCGCCTTCATGGGTGGCCATTATTTCTCCTTTCTACCAGCCTTCTTTCAGACCAGGATTGGGTAAGGGCTGGCCTCTCTGCACCTTTCACAGCATCCTTGAGGCTCCTAGTGTCCTGACTTGCATGCAGCCCATAGAGTGGCTCAGAATCAAAACAAAACCAGAAGAAACTGTTTGCCCCTGCCAGGTGGCCTGGGGATCCTGGATCGGGCGAAGGACCCAGGATCTGACTGTCTATCTCTTGGGTTAGCCTTGGATCTTTTCAGAAGCTGGTAACTGTCTTAGTTAGGGTCACTGAAGCTGAGAGGAAATGCCATGGCCAAAAGCAGTGTGGGGAGGAAAGGGCTTATTTTGTTTACACTTCCTTATAGAAGTCCATCATCAAAGGAAGTCCAGGAACTTAAACAGGGCAGGAGGCAGGAGCCTCTGAATGGACCACGGAGAAATCCTGCTTACCGGCTTGCTCTTCAAGGCTTGCTCAGCCTGCTTTCTTACAGCACCCACGACCACCAACCCAGGGATGGTGTACCTCACCACCGACTTGGCCCTCCCCCATCAACCACTAATTAAGAACATGCCTCCCAGGCCTGCCTACAGCCCCATCTTACAAGAGACATCTTCTTAGTGGAGTTTCCCGCCTCTCTAGCCTGTATCAAGTTAAAGTAAAAGCCATCGGAGGTGTTGACTGAACTCAGTCATAAGGGGAATTAAATCGAGGGGCCTTCTCAGGTGTGTGGGAGCCTGCTTGTCTCTCATCTGCAAAGGAGGTTGTAGGGAAGGGGGAGGCTGGGAGCCAGGGTAGCGCTGGCCTCCTTCCCCAACCCCTGCAGAAGTTGTAGTTGAGTCTGGTACCTTCTGATGTCTTTTTGGTGGAGCCCAATCTGACATTGTCAAAATGATCCATTAGACCCTTTCATAATAAGGCTTCAAATAGTA